AAATCAGCAACTGATTGTGTCTGGATGAGCGCCCCAAGTGTTGCGCCTCTACCGGTATCCACACACACGAACGGAATTCTCCAACGATCCACGTGCTAGCGAAAGATCTTGAAGTTCCTTTTCTTGAACGCCTTTTGATTTTCGATACTCTGTCGAAAAACCCTAGACAGAGAACGATTCTCTATCTATTTATACAGCCTCATTATCTAGCGGAATTAAAAGAAGTGGGCCGGGCTATTTGGGCCCGCCAAACTGTCCACCTTCAATCGTACGTTTAATCGTTATCTCATAACGCAAACGACCGCATAGATAATTTAAATAGGAGAATAAATTAAAATCTACTTCTTAAGTAGATCAAGGCGCATAGACAATATTAAGTCCGTTCACTATTGTGTGCGACCCTGTAGGTTCACTAAACATTAGCAGTGTGCCCAAAACTCTTTTGGCCCACAAGTCATAAGCGGTCTCTAGCAACACATTATGACTACCTAAGTATAGTGAAGATCGGTTTTCCGACACAACCTAATCCACAACTAATATTAGAGTATTAACATTGATTGATTCCTAGGGCAGACCACTAACAATGAGATGAGCTAATCATCGTACCCACAGGGCATCGGTTACTTCTCTTTTTTAGTTCTTGGTAAATCTGGTCTTTGATCGACTTGTTTTTCACGAGTCAGCATCACATGGTATACTGAGGCACGAAATGCATTCTCGGAGCGAAATCCCTATATTTTCATATGATTAAATTGACACACTTCAAGTATCTGAAAAAGGCCAGATAGGGTCCACAAATAAAATGTAACACAGAATTTTGCTTAATCTTATACTTGCAATTTGAAAATAGTATGTGTACTTGTATTGTTAACATAGGTTGCTCGAAACGGGTTCCGCTTTTCACTTTTTATTATTTCACATTTTACGGCTCACATAGATTGAGTTTTTACATCGCATGAAGCCCTCATTTAAAACCATTCAAAATCGTACAAATATCGACGTGCAGATTTAGGCTCCACAGTCACGACAACTTTTTCATTAATCAAACTTTACACATGCCCCGTAAGCTTTAGTATCGCAAATCAACGGTTAATACAAGTACCTAACAGAGGAATTTTTTACCCCAGTTCACGTGCTAATGCCAACCAAAATCAAATAGCTAAGGTGAAAAACAACATGCACATGGCATCATAGGTGGAAAATCTGTTTGAGGGTCCAGTGTCTTAGAAGGTGATTGGGGACCAATATCTGTTAATCAAATGATGGACTTAACTGGGAATCGTCCAAATTACGAAATCTGTTCTCGTCGACGTCAACAGAAAAGAAAAAGAGGAACAAAAGAAGGAAATGCATCAGACATCATATGACCACCAACCCCCATCAAAAGCTTTTAATAGAGGGAACATTCAGATCCTATCCTAAGCAACCCATGCGCACCTCGGTTGTTCCACCAAATCTGCATGTGATTCTTCATTATAAAAATCGAATCGATTGGGTTTCTGCTGCAGCCCTTTTCCTGCAGTTGTCGGCAATAATTCCCATTATTTTAGCTACCGAGAGTCTAGTATTGGAGAGAAGAAAGGGGACAGGTTTAGGGATTATTATAAGTGTTTGTATCAGATTAGTGCAGCACTTAACGTGGGTGCATGTGTCGCGCGAGCAATACATTGTGTTTTCGATCAATCTGACCGAATGCCAGCATAAATTGCTGTCAACTCTTTTCCACCCTTCCATTGACAATCTGTCAGCTAGCCTCCGCAATAACTAACTCCTAATTGGGGCAAGAAAAACATGTGGCTTTTCGACTTCAATCTCGAACCGGTCTTTATCCGTCTCCCATGTTTTTTTCCCCTATGGATTGATCCATCATGTCATGAAGGATATCAAGAAACACTAAAACAGAACCAAGAGCTTCGTGTTGGGGCCATCTATTTAAATTTCGACCGATCCACCAGTGTTCAGTATGTGTAATCTCAATGGATGTCGAGCATAGCCCCGGGATTACTCTTAAAAAGAGACATTGTGATTTAAGTGCGGGATTGACTAAATCTGAACCGAACATACGAACTATTGAGTGAGGGTCATACAATCACTTTAAGACCAAAAGCTCGACATAAATCCAGATGTGTGTTAATTTCTCCATATATCTAATGGATCATACAAATAGAAAAATTGTCCAAAAAGTTATAAATCAATTGCATTTTTGACTCTTAAGTCCTAAACCTTTTAATTTTGCCTATTGAGTCCTTCTGGCAAATTTTAGTCGGAAATCGCTAACGTGGACGCCGGTAGTGCCACATAGGATGGTAGGCGCTAACATTGACAATTTTTTATAATTTTTTTTAAAAAAATTGATTTTTTATGATTTTTTATTGTTTTCTCTTTTTTTTTTCTTTTTCTTACTGGACTTGGTAAAAAAATTATAAAATTGTCCACATTAGTGTTGACCGTCTTACGTGGCACTACCAGCGTCTACATCAACGATCTCTGGTTAAAATTGATCAAATGGACTCAACTGGCAAAATATAAAAAGGTTTAGTACTCAATTGACAAAATTGAAAGGTTTATGATTGAATTGATAAAAGCGCGATTAAGCTTAGGACTTTTTGAACAATTTTCCCCAAATAAGTAGTAGATATAATTCAAATCGAACATGTCGTTGATGTCGAAAAAGTACCAAAAAGGTCCTAAATCTATTACATTAGTAACAATTTAGTCTTAAACCTTTCAATTAGACCAATTTAGTCCTAAATCGTTTTACATTGGTGCCAATTAAATCCATCTAGCCAATTTAGGCCTAAAATTGCTAACATGAACGCTGGCCGTCCTATATGGCACAGCTAGCACTAATGTAAACAATTTTCTAAATTTTTTAATAAATTTTCAAATTTTTTATTAATTTTTTTCCTTTTTTCTTTTACTTCTTTCCTTTTTTTCGTTTCTCTATTTTCTTTTTTCCTTATTTCCCTCCGCCAGCCTTCGTGATGGCCGATGGAGGTCATCAGCCGCAGGTCAGGGCTGGCCCCTCGCCAGACCCTCGCCCAAGCAAGTTGGCCTCTGGCAAAGCTGGGCGAGGGACCTCACCTACCTCTAGCAATGACGAGACCAACGAGGGCATCCCAACTATTGCCGGATCTGGCAAGGGACAGCCTCGCCGAGCCCTCGCCAAAGCCCTAGCCGGCGAGGACCGGGACGCCCTCGCCCTAGCCGGCAGCTGGCTGAGGTCACCGGCCATCGTAGAAGCTAGCAAAGGGAAATAAGGAAATAAGAAAAAAGGAAAGGAAAAAGAAAAAAAATTCATACAAAATTTCAAAAAATATTTAAAATTTTAAAAAGATTGTCCACGTCAGGGCCTGCCATGCCATGTAAGACGATCGGCATCCACATTAGCAATTTCTAAACTAAATTGGCCAGATTGACTTAATTGATATTAATGTGAAAAAGTTTATGATTAAATTTGTCTAATTAAAAGATTTAAAACTAAATCGGTACCAATGCACTAGGTTTAGGACTTTTTTTGTACATTTCCCTACTATGTCAAACTCCTATGTTAACACTAAGGAAGTTATCAAATTCTAGTTTTTCCTACTATTTTACCAATAAAAGAAAGAGGAACCGGTAAAACAGAAAAAGGAAAACATGGAAGGACCTTTAACTATTGTCCTTTGATTTATGTCCTCTAATGTTTCCATGTTAGAGTGACTTATCTTTGTGGGACATAAGTAGGGTGATCCAGTGTAGGCGGTTCTCACCCTGGAACCAGGAACCGCCCACTAAAGGCCGGTACTATAAAATGGGAACTGGGAACGCTCACTGGTTCCATGAACCCACCCGCGGACCGGCCGTGCCTTCCAAGACTCCCTAATCTCCACTGCAAGTATGCCTTAAACCTGGAAATATGCCTTAAACGGGCCAGGGATGAGGCTGCCGCCGCCGCCGCCGCAAAAGCCGGCAGGAACTTCTGGTTGGAGAGCTTCTGCGGCAACTTGTGGAGGGGACGGGGATATGGGCGAGGGCCAGGAGGACGGTGGTGAGGCCAGATTGGACTGGCATTGATGAGGTTCTCGTTCTCATCGATGTCGGGCTGAGAGGAGGCGTGGAGAGGGATGTTGTCGCTGTGGGAGTGCGATATCTTTCCTTCTTCTCGGGAAAGTGTTGGGGCTTGTGGGTTTCTCGGGAAAGTTCTCAGTGGGTGATGATGGAAATGGTGGATCTTGAGAGAGAGAGAGAGAGAGAGAGAGATTGGTTGTTCAGAAAGAGAGCGAAATCTGGAGAGGAGAATGAAGCAGAGAGACGGAGAATACAGTGGCAGCAATGTGGAGGAAATGCGAGAGAGGACGCGTAAAATTGACGTCTTCGCCAAGTTACGGTTTTTTGAAATTTTCAACATAAAATAAATATATGTGTGTATGTATGTACCGGTCCGGTTCGAGTGGTCCGGATAAGCGGTTTTTTGAAACTTTTTCCTTTACTTTTCTTTTTTCCCTCCACCGGCCATCACCGGGTTGCGCGGAGATCACCAGCCACCGGCAACGGCCTCGTCAGCCTCAGCGATGGCTGCCCTCACCAGCCGAGGCTTGGGTGTTCCAAAATTCTAGACATTGACTTCAAGACCTAAGATTGAGTCTGTGTTTCTTTCTCGATTGTCAGGTCGTCTGTGTAATGCATAAAGACCCCGGCTGCGTCGAAGTTTCTGATCTCAAGTGACAATCAACATGGCATGCCTGGCATTTCTCTGACCCGTGTAATATTAGCGCAAACATGAAGAGAGGAAAAACAAACACATATTGGAGAAAAACGAAGTTCAAAATCCGACGAGGTTATTGTGGTGGCCACCAATTCACAGGCTAAGGAGCTCCCTCGTTTCTTCATTGATGAGGACGTGGAGACCTTTGCAATGCGATTTAGGAATTCTTTGGTGGCAAATGACCCAAATAATTAGCAGCAAAAAGAATTGAGTCTCATCGCGTCTTACATACAAGAATTAAAAGAGAGCTAAGTGTAGCAACTTTTCAATATCAGTATAAGGGCAAGAACATTTATGTATACACAAGCTACAAATAGAGAAGACGATGAGTGAACAAAATCAATCAGACGTGGACAATAGCTTCTCAGCATGCCATTCAAATGCTGGACTAGTAAACGAAAGGCAGCATCCTGCATTTGAAAGAAAATAACTCACATGTTTCCTTGTTGGCTACAACAGGCAAACTTCCCAAGGAGTCGCAATGAGATATATCCAACTTCTTTATATTCTGTAAGCAGAAAAAATCTAGTAGCTCTTTTAAGGACGGGCAGGAAGAAATTGTTAAACTCTCCACTGATTCCGATTGTTCCAGACCTCGAATCTCAACTAGCAGAGGGCAATGACTAACCTCCAAAACCGCTAGCTTTCTCAAGCTTTGTATATGGGATAGTCTCTTAAGGAATAGACAGTGCAATACATGCAATTCTCGAAGGTTCTCCAACTGTCCAAGCACATCCAGTGGAATTTCCGTTAAGCATGACCTGCATACATCTATTCTGGACAAATATTTCAAGGTGTGAAGGCATGACCATCTATCTGTGGACTCAAGATCATAGAACCTCAAGAACTTAATTTCGGGTGGAATCCACTCGAGAGATCGAAAGGTGGAGTCAGGTAATTCGAGAAATTCGAGGTCAGTAAGGGCACAAAAGTCAGCAGGTAACATGGTCATGTCTACAAGGTCCAATGCCAACCAAATCAACTTAGTTAACCTCCCAATCCCCTGCAAATCTTGAGATTGGCATGCATTTGGAGGTGCATGAGGCATACTAAGATATCTACGATGACCATGATCAGATAACCACAGAAAACTTAAGTTGGTCAGGTTTGACAGATCTGGAATCCTCTGTAATGCTGAAGATGAAATGTGCAAACGTGCCAAACTTGTAGGAAGCTCTGGCAATTCTTGAAGCTCATGACAATCAAGCAAATCCAAAATTTGAAGTTGAGAAAGCCGACTAATACTTGATGGCACTTTAGAAATACGGGTTCCTGATAAGTCTAGTTCTTTCAAAGATGATAGCGCCCCAATTTCCACCGGAATTTCTCCCTCCATAAATCTGCACTCGCTAACACTTAAATGTGCAAGCTTCTCCAACTTCCCTATCGCCTCAGGTAGCTTTCTTAATTTACATTCTCCAATGTCTAGCTTCTCCAATCTCTTAAGCTCTCCAATCGAATCGGGCAGCTCTCCAATGTTCGTGCAAGATAGATTCAACTTGACTAGAGATTTTAGTTTCCCAATTGACTCTGGAAGTTGATTCACAGATGAATTTCTTAAAGACAACTTTTGAAGACCAGCCATCTCTCCTATTGAATCCGGAAGTTCAAGGAGTTCCATATTTTCCATCTTTAGAGTTGATAGACGCTTTAGATTACCCAATAAGTCTGGCCATGATTGACATGCCATGGCTCGATTCAGTACTGTTGGAGCTCCTTTAAGCACCTTCAAACCAATACACCCCTCAATTTCCAAGTGCTTCAAATGCTTCAACATAGTAATGGATGGGTCAATTTCAACCAGCCTATCACAATCCTTCACTATGAGTCTCTCCAAAGTCAAGCATGTAGAGAAGTTAGGCGTCTTGATCAACCTTCTACAACTCACGAGATGCAGAACTTTTAACCTACCATTTCCCTGTAGAATTAATCGTACAACAATGTACAAGGATCGTCAAATTCACTGTGCACAAAGAAAAAGAGTAGATGTAAATTGGTTATATTACGAGATATCGTACCATGATTTGGCTCCATCCACCCCAATCATTTGTAATGTCGGATTCTGAAATTTTGAGGACAACTAGATTGCTTGGAGAGAAGTTAGTAGCTTGAAACTCTGACGGACAATTTTGCCAGGACAGCCATCTTAGCTCCAAAAGGACATTTTGGAAGTCGCCTACAAAGTTTCCTCCACCCAATTCAAGGAACCTTAACTTCAACAGCCTTAAAATGTCTTCACGTGTAATATTGCACACTTGAGATTGCCCACCTAGTTTGAGAGCTACTATTTTCTTTGTTCCCTAGTAAAAGCAATTATAGCTCAATAAGCCCCAGCTTAGGTGAACATGAGAAAAAGACCCGTGAATATAACAAAATATCTTTCCTTTTTCTCAATAAAAGGCTGGGGAGAGGCGAACAGCGTACAGCCCCACTGGAAATCAAGAAAACTCTCCACATAAGGTAACAAATGTCTAATGCATAAGCTGGCCAATGGTTCTCTCACGCCATGGCTCGAACTTATAATCTTATGGAAGATAGTGTGACCTCTTAAACACTGAGCTACCATGCTCTGTGGTAATTTAACACAGTAAAGACCTACTCTATTTTCTACACAAAGTGAAAAGTAGAACTTTAGTGAATACGTACCTCTTTTCTTTGTATAACATCCATGGCTACGGTGGGACACCATATTCTACTACGCTCTCCAGGATGTTCTATGCTCTCCTTGCGAACAAGTTCCCTCCCTAAATCTCTGAGTTGGTCATGCATCCAAATGCGGTCATTCATAATCTTTATCAAAGACAGATTAACAAGAACTGTGATGGCTTCAATGGGAAAAAATTCACAAGATCTCCACATAAAAATTGCATCGCTTCTTTGTTCATCGGCCATGTGACATGCAATGTCAAGGAAAATTTCTTTCTGCTCATATTCCAACATGTCATAACTTACCTTCAATACGTCCTGAACTTCTTCGTGAAGCATCTTGTTCGTCTTGGCTAATACATCCTCCCATACTTCTTCACTCTCACAGTCTAGTGAGGATCCAATAACCACAAGAGCCAGCGGAAGTCCACCAGTGATTTTCACAATTTCTCTTGTTATTCTATCATATTTAAGTGGAGGAGCATCGCTCTCAAATGCATATCTACTAAAAAGTTGAATAGCATAAGAATTATGCATCTCCTCCATTTCGTAGAAGTAATACACTTTAGGATGCATTGAAGCATTATTCTTGTTCTTTTTCAAAAAACTGATGTCCCTAGTTGTCACAATAATTCTACTCCCTGGACTGAACCAATCACACTTTTCCACTAGCTTCATGAGTTGGTCCCTATTATCCAAATTATCAAGAACAATTAGGACTTTCTTGTGGCGGCATCTTCCCTTAATCATGTTGACCCCACAGTCAGTATCATGAATCTTTATGGACGTAGAGTTGAGGATGTCAGACAATAATCTGTTTTGCAATTTTACAATTTTACCCTGCTGTGAAAGTTCTCGAATGTCTGACAGGAAGCTGCAACCATCAAACTGAGAAGCGATTTGGTTGAAAACAACTTTGGCAAGAGTTGTCTTACCGATTCCGCCCATTCCATGTATTACAACAAACCGTATATCGAGAGAGTCTTTGCCTAATAAATCCATCACGGTTTTCACTTGACGATCAATTCCAACCAAATGATCAGGCACTATTCGAGCTGCTCTTGCCAGTTTCCTTGAAACCTCATTGGTAACAAGTTTTATGAGTTCCCCTTGGCTGCCATACAAGAAATTCAGATTGAGTAACAACACAGAGAACATCAACTTCCAAGATTTTGTAAATGTTAATCCACCATTCACAACAGAAAATTTTATTAGCCGACCGAAGCAAATTAAGGCTAAGATATCTATTTTAAACACGCACATAGAAAGAGAAAGGAACGAAATTATGCACACAGAAAGAGAGTAGAAGATTGCTAGCAAAACTACCAGGTTTAAAAACACAACAATAAAAAACTAACGCCCATGCTTTGAAATGTTGAACCTGAGAATGTCAACACAATCACGGCAAAACAACCTCAGAGAATTACACTGTGGTCATTGAATTATGCAAATATCATGTTTATGCTGCGAAAGAACGAATTACTGGAAATTTAAACAGCCTAAAATAAATATCAAATTATTCATAACAACTCTTCCGTTGCGTACTCGAAACAGGATATAACTTTGTCCGATGCTTTTGTTTCGCGGAAAGTCAAAGATTTGGAAAATATTTGTTCCTCAAAATATAGTTAGTACGTATCAAAACAGTGTCATCATTCTCAAGATCTGCTAAACATCAATCCTCAAAAAAGTTTCGAGGGAAGTCGTTAAACTTTTAGTATGGCCAACGAACCCCCATGCTATATCTCCCCATGCACAGATCCATGTATGGCATCATCACTTCAGAAACCATGGGCCTCATAGCGAGTCGGTCAAGAATGTTAAGTAACCACAATTTACCAGAAAAAAGTATATCGGCTATTCTGAATTTATCACCCCAAAAAGTAACCTCTGAAACAAATCAAACCACTTTAATTTGTTGCCCACTTCACGTCCAGATCTCCGTGAAGAACCCCACAAATTCTTTTCGTAATTGTGCAGCAGTATATATCAACTTTTAAGCCAATAGTTTTTATTGGTCTCTCTAGGGTTATTGTATTTATATCTGAAGACATGAAAAAGGAGTGAAGTATATAGTCTATAGTAAAAACCTCTAGAAACTCTCTTACCCTCTATCTTTGCAGTGCCATCCTTTGATCGAAGCGACCTCTTTTAGAGCATCCTTCCACCGTTGCATTTCATCTGCGCCAAACCTGTCCTCGTGTTTTTTCAAGGCATCGACGTATAATTCAGTTCTAAGTTTAACATCGTACGGATCAACGTCGAAGAAAATGGGAAGGATCACTTTGTCCGTCGATCTTCTTGAGCATTCCACCATGTGGGCAAGCTCGCAAAGACACAATGCGCTAGATGCATAGTCTCGGGAGAAGATGGGCACATAAATTCTGGAGTCCTTGATTGCACGTAGAAGCTCGCCTCCAATCTTTTCGCCTTCTCGGATCTCTGAATCGTCTAAGAAGACGCAAATCCCAGCTCCATCAAGGGAGTGATAGAGGTGATCAGTGAAACTGAGGCGGGTGTCCGGCCCTCTAAAATTCAAGAACACCTCAAATTCAGCTCCCAGTGACTCACTAGCTTCACCCGTGGAGGGCGACGTTGCTGTGTCCGAGTCCCTTTTTCTCTTCATATTCACTGAGATGAACTACTTCTGGTGTGCACGATTCTTCCTAGTCTGATGAGCAATCCTTGGAGAGTTTATGAAAGAGTAAAAAGGCGTAGTAAATCAGTTTTGCTCCTTTTTCCTGGCATTTCATGGCACTTTTTGCATATTTCAAAAAGAAGTCGGAGCAATCACGCGTGTAACAGTACATCAAAGAAAGACTTTGAATCTTGGTGGGACTAGTAATCCCAACTTTTGAAGGAGAAATTTCAGAAAGGCAATAATGTCTCAGAGAAGACATACAATCACGGACCCGGATTTTGGGGCCAGCATTTTTCACACACCAAAGATAATTTCTCGTGTTCACAATCAGCCCCTGGGAGCTGCTAGACAGCCCAAAATGAAAGAATCTAACCATGGTGAGTGGCTCTGCAAGATTGACTGTGCTCCATCAATGCCATCACACGTTACAACCTTCTGTTTTGAGCGTGTAAGCGAGAAACTCTCTCATGCAGAGTTTCCTAGCTTATTCTTCGCGTGTATGTCTATAGAACTTACCGACGTAACTAAGAGGTACATTTCAAATTATAAAAAATCTACTTTAATTATAGGTGTTGTCATTTTAATATTTTTCATCAGTTAGTGTAGTTATACACTAAATAGATTTGCTTGAGTTTATCATCATTTTTTTTTAATTTCAGAATAACCTATATTGTTTCATCCTTGTTGGAAGAGTTGATCAACATCCACATCGCTTCTTGCTATTAAATGTTTGCTTAAGTCGCTTTGGCACTTGCTCACACTATCACATGATTGACAGCGCAAAATAAAACAAAAAGATAAAATTCCATTAGCAAAAGAAGACATTTCGAATGAAAAGAAAAGTTGAGATTAGGTGTTTTGGTATCAAAAGAAATAAAAAGGTAAGTGTACTCTTGGGGAGCATTTGGTTCGGCTTTTGGGGAAAGCCTTTGGAGAAATGCAAAGGCTTTTAGCCTAAAGGGCTTTGGGGAAATGCAAAGACTGTTTGGTAAACTGTAATCGAAAAGTGCCTCGGAAAGCAACTATAAGAGAAATGCTGTTTGGTAAACATATATTTGGAAAGTCCTTTGGTGTGACCAATTTAAGTTTTTTAATTTCAATGCAAATGAACAATGTCAAGGTCAAACCATAAACATGAACAACAAGCAACTTGCTAAAGCAGCTTTTACAATCACAACATCGACAAAGTCATACGAACTCAATTTCCTTTGAAAGATCGACACATGCACAGCCACGGTGAAACCATTCCTGAGACACAGCCTTCACAAGAGTGCAGATCTATCAAGAAAATTTCAAAAACGCAATTGTGGGCAGGAAGGACAAGCAGCGGGACAAGAAAGCAGAACATACCACTTGGCATACAATTTGTGGCATCTTCCAAGGAAAAGCTAGACCAAAGCTCAATCGATCAGAAAAACTTTGCACAGCTCTGCCCTACTTCGAAGGCACAACCCAGGAAGAACAAACAATTGCAACAGAAAACCAGCTTCCAAGGCACCTAAATTTGTCGAGAGAAGACCGACACACGGAATAGCCTTCCTCCTCGCTGCGTAGCCAGAATCAAGATATAGCTCCACGCACTTCATTTCATTTTCTTGACCATCAAACTCGGAGTACTCCCCCCAAGAAACGCCTCGGACAGAAAAAATCTTCCCATCCCAAACGCGCCGACAAGCCCGAATCACGAGCTGCTCCAGCTAGGCGACAGCAACGACAATCCACAACCCACAAGGCCCGAATTTCCAATGAAACTAAAGACCCCCCCTCATCGCCCAAAACCAATTGCACCCCTAGCTAGACGCAAATTGAAACTAACTACGATCGTAAAAAGGAGGGAAACACATAGAGCATCAAGCCCATGAACAGAGAAATCTCACCCGGGAAAGAGAGGCGAGCGCGGGCGTGAGGGAAGAGAGGCGTGAGAAGCCCGCGAGAGCCAAAGGGAAGCGTGAGAAGTCCTTTTGATTGAAAGGGGGAAGTCCTCTTGTATTTCTCCGGAAAGCCAAATGATACTGATAGCACAAAAGCATTTTGAGTTTTATACCTTTTCTTCAGGACTTGACTTTGCCAGGAGCCCTTTGTTTTCCATCACTTCAAGTTCGTTTCATTCATGTCGTTCTTTATGTGTTGTTATCGGGAAGGATACCATGGATTGAAGTGAATATTTTAACAAAAAGATCGTCGAATGATGAAGGGATTACTCCTTAAATGTATAGGTTCGAAACCCTTCCGGTCGCTCCTCGACTTCAAGAAGCCTTAATTTGATTGCAGGATAAGTTCGGTCATGTCGTAGCACAGGATTACTCGGCTTGCTCCCTCTAGCACTAGGGATGTGCAAAACGAACCGCCCAAATCGGGAACCATCCGGACTAGATTGGACCGCCCGATTTTGTCCGGTTCTCGAGAGTGTCGGTCAAATTCCCAGTTCCTAAAAGTGGAATCGGTGTTCCGGCGGTCTGATTCCCGATTCCAAAGGGACTGAAATCGGGAACCGGATCTACTATATACACTTTTCTTTTATCTTTTATTTCTTTAAAAAAATTAGCAAAATGCGAACTAAATCCTAAGTGAAACACATTTTTTTATTCGTTTTTTCGATTTGAGAATCATTACATACATATCACTTAATTCAACACGAAAATATGGCATCAAATAATGGGGGAAAAAAAAGTGATCGGTTCCATTGGTTCGGTCCGATTCCCGGTTCTAAGACCAACCAGTTCGGTCCCCGATTCTCAATTTTGGGAACCGATCCTTTCGAACCGAATCGGAAACCGATCACCCCTATCTAGCACCGTGGGGGTACAATGTTGATGGGTTTGCTCAAATTAGCAATAGCTATTATTCAAGTCAAGTCAAGCATCCCCTCGCTAGTGTCAAGCTACTATGATAGTACCAAGAAAGTTGCTTAGGGTGGTCGTTCCTAACCTTATTACCAATAAAAGAACGAGGAGCGAAAAAAAACAAGAAGAAAACAAAGGAAGGACCTAGACCAACAGGTGTCCTTTGATTTATGTCTTGTAATGTCGCCATGCTAGATTGTCTTCTTTTTAAGGGGCATAAGTAGGTACTGATAAATTATTTTTGTTTAATTAATTACAATAGTAAGCATCTATATCATATTTAGTAGAGTATTTTACACACGTGAAATGTGACATTCTGAATTTCGACCCACTTTCGGGATTTATGAAATGATATTATCATCAATGCACTTTCTGTTATATCTCACTCGGAATTGGCCATTCTTGAGAATACTAACCGTTAGGGAATGACTAGTTCGGATTTCGGTACGCACGACCCAAGAACTCGAATCCGGATCGACACTTCGACCATAAGGATTGACAATGGGATATTTTGGGCCATTATAGGCCGATCCAAGAATGATTATGGAACAATTTAACAATGTTATACAATTGAGTCACGGGTGATTCCGTTTAATCGTTGTATGCATTCCGAACGTTCCAAAATCAATTTCTAATGATCGTGTCATTCGGAACTAGTGATTGACCCTCGTAATTACATGACAATCGAAGTCACCATGGCTCGAATAAACTTAAACGTGGATTGATATCAAATCAACCACAGGTCGACACGCGTAAACCCTAAAAGCCGCCCGTTAGTTTAAGATACACGAAAGTCGCGCTTGATCGATTTTGGCCACGAATTGGAATCCGAACTTAGGTATCGAACTTTCAAGGATGTCAAAATTATTATATTGGACGTCGCCGCGTTAAGCTCGCTTTGTTATCGGTTTACCCAGAAATTCTCGAAAAAGTGAAAATTGGCTCGGAAATTGGAAAAGACGATTTTACCCATGTGTGTTCTAGAGTTTATTTGTTGAGTGGAAGGACATGTTGGTCTTTTTCCCCTAGTGGCCGAAAATCCTCTTGGACAACTTTGCCCTTGCCCTTTTTGGTTATTTACATAATTGCCCTTCTAGAAACCCTTTTTCTAGATGCATTCCTAGCCCTTAAATCAATACTTGGGCACCAAGGACTCATCCTAGCCCTCCATTTTGAGAGATATGTTCAGCCCTCTCTCTCTCTCCTCACTTTCTCCCTTGCTTTCTCTCTCTCTCTTCATTTTTCTCTTTCTCTCTCCCTCCCCCCTTGGCCAAGACACTCACCAGCGCCGTCCACCACCCTTGCACCCTCACACCACCACCCCTGGACCGCCGTGGACCACCGTGAGCCGCCCCCAAGCCGCCGTTCACACCCGGAGCAGCTGCCGTTCGCCGGATCGCCATTTGGGCCGCCGCCGTTCGCCGGAGCTCTTGGCTTGGCCGGGACTGGTGCTACTGGTTTTGGCTTGGTTCTTAGCTTAAATTAGTGGTAAGTAACTCCCTAAACCTTGATTAGGTTAGTAGGTTATCATTGGATAGTGTTTAGGGGTTGTTAGAGTAATTTATGGGTTATTTTAGGAGTTAATTTAGGGTTTATGGTAGATGCTGAATTGAGGATTTGTTGGTGGCTGGATTTGATGATTATATGGCTGATTTGAATGTTAAGATAGGTAGATTATGTGACTTGAGCTTGAGCATATGTTTAATGTTGCTAATTGTGCTTAATTTGGCTAATTATGATTGTTTATTGGTTGTTTTAATTAAATTCGTATGTTAGTCTTGTGGCTGCAATAATCATGTGGTAGTGGCTGAATTGGATGATTTGGATATTGATCATATGGCCCCCATTGATTCTAGATTGGTTAATGTTAATTTTAGGGCTTAATTAACATGATTATGTGCTAATTTTGATCGTACGGTTTAAATTAAATTAGGATGTGATAAAATTTGATCATATGGCTTAGTAGAGATTTGAAGTTGATCGTGTGGCTTTGATTGACAATCGCATGGCTAATTAGTCGATTATGTACCGATTAAAGGTTTAATGACGATCGTGTGGTGGATTAGTTGTTTAATGTTGATCGCATGGTTAAATTGTTTAATCGTATGGTTAATTTATTTGATCATGGCTGAGTAATTGACTATGGCTTGATCGTGTGGTTGGAATGATGATTTCGTGGCCTAGAACGAAGATCGTATGGTTGAAATTGATGTTTCATGGTTGATCTTGCACTTGATGAATAATCGTAGGATTTTAAATGTCACATCCTCAATTTCAGTCCCTGGAAAATGGTTATGGTTTAAGTTTTGTGGTTTTCCAATGGGTACTAAAATTTTTACTCTTGTTTTGGAAAACCCTATTTCGGATCCTTTGTACCCCTTCATTTTGTTATTTTGGGGAGACTTTTGTGATCCGAATTTCTAAATACTTCCTTCTTGAAAGTTGTTCCAAACATCTTGAAGTTTTACATACTTTAATTTCAGAATTTTTGGAGTTGATATGAGTGGTACAATGGCCTGATTTTCGGACCGTGTGAAACTGCCCAGAATGGGTATTTCGGTGATGTTCACACCGTATTTATTGTCTACAAGCTTTTCTAGGCTGATTTTGGAAAAGTTTCCTTCATAAAAGTTGTTGAGAACATCCTTTTCTATAACATATATAAATTTGGGAATTTTTCGAGATGATTTGGATTCTGAACAGAGCTTACTTTGAGAAACAAGAAGTCTGTTCCAGCGAACTGTTTTTAGTCTGTCTTTGAGCTACTAAAAATAGTGTTTACAGAGAGATTTAGATTTTTTATTCTCATGAAAAATGTTTGTTAAGGCCTTGTTTATGACATATTCAAATTTGAGAATTTTGGGAGTCCATTTACTATATTTTCAAGTCCAATTTCGTGAACAGTGCAAAGCTGTCCGGTTTTGTCAGATTTCAAAGATTCAGCATTTTCTATACGAGAACGTTGGAATTTGGACTTGGTGTCTTCTGGTGACTTAAAGCATACGTTTTGAGCTTTCAAATGAGATATTTTATGCTTTGATTGGAGGCCATCTCAGGGGGAAAATGAGAGTGAGCCGAGAGAGAGCCGAGAGAGGGAAAGGAAGAGAGAAATCATTAGTGGCTTGGATTCATTGTGCTCTCTTCATCGTGATCCTTTGGCTATAGTTCATTAATGAACTTTAATGCTATCCATCATGACCTTAGACTTTGGAGGCCTGTTCATCATGACAAGCATTAATAGTCTTGAGTGAGGAGCAAGTTTGGGGTTTGATAAATTGAAAGAGGCCATTCGGCCAAGAGAGAAAGAGAGGGAGTAGCCGTGAGAGGAGAGAGAGAGAGAGAGAGAGAGAGAGAGAGAGAGGAGAACCAATGAGGAAGAGATAATGTTAGCCTCTTCATCATTTTAGTCCATTAATAGCTTTTAATGGCATTAAATACAAGCCATCATAACTTTTGACTATTGTGCACATTAAT